TCTTCTCTGGCTGCTATCTTAAAATACTCGATTTCTCGAAAACTACACATAGTACCACTTTCAAATTTATACAGTAGAAAGGGGTTTAATAAAGCTAAAATTTATTGTATCAAACATTTACTTGGAATGGGTCCTTCGATTTCTCATTTCTGGCTGCTATCTTAAAATACTCGATTTCTCGAAAACTACACATAGTACCACTTTCAAATTTATACAGTAGAAAGGGGTTTAGTAAAGCTAAACTTTAGCGTATCAAACATTTACTTGGAATGGGTCCTTCGATTTCTCTTATCTGGCTGCTATCTTAAAATACTCGATTTCTCGAAAACTACATAGTACCACTTTCAAATTTATACAGTAGAAAGGGGTTTAATAAAGCTAAAATTTAGTGTATCAAACATTTACTTGGAATGGGTCCTTCGATTTCTCTTCTCTGGCTGCCATCTTAAAATACTCGATTTCTCGAAAACTACACATAGTACCATTTTCAAATTTATACAGTAGAAAGGGGTTTAATAAAGCTAAAATTTAGCGTATCAAACATTTACTTGGAATGGGTCCTTCGATTTCTCTTCTCTGGCTGCTATCTTAAAATACTCGATTTCTCGAAAACTACACATAGTACCATTTTCAAATTTATACAGTAGAAAGGGGTTTAATAAAGCTAAAATTTAGTGTATCAAACATTTACTTGGAATGGGTCCTTCGATTTCTCTTATCTGGCTGCTATCTTAAAATACTCGATTTCTCGAAAACTACACATAGTACCATTTTCAAATTTATACTGTAGAAAGGGGTTTAATAAAGCTAAAATTTAGCGTATCAAACATTTACTTGGAATGGGTCCTTCGATTTCTCTTCTCTGGCTGCTATCTTAAAATACTCGATTTCTCGAAAACTACACATAGTACCACTTTCAAATTTATACAGTAGAAAGGGGTTTAATAAAGCTAAAATTTAGTGTATCAAACATTTACTTGGAATGGGTCCTTCGATTTCTCTTCTCTGGCTGCCATCTTAAAATACTCGATTTCTCGAAAACTACACATAGTACCATTTTCAAATTTATACTGTAGAAAGGGGTTTAATAAAGCTAAAATTTAGCGTATCAAACATTTACTTGGAATGGGTCCTTCGATTTCTCTTCTCTGGCTGCTATCTTAAAATACTCGATTTCTCGAAAACTACACATAGTACCACTTTCAAATTTATACTGTAGAAAGGGGTTTAATAAAGCTAAAATTTAGCGTATCAAACATTTACTTGGAATGGGTCCTTCGATTTCTCTTCTCTGGCTGCTATCTTAAAATACTCGATTTCTCGAAAACTACACATAGTACCATTTTCAAATTTATACAGTAGAAAGGGGTTTAATAAAGCTAAAATTTAGCGTATCAAACATTTACTTGGAATGGGTCCTTCGATCTCTCTTATCTGGCTGCTATCTTAAAATACTCGATTTCTCGAAAAATACACATAGTACCATTTTCAAATTTATACAGCAGAAAGGGGTTTAATAAAGCTAAAATTTAGCGTATCAAACATTTACTTGGAATGGGTCCTTCGATTTCTCTTATCTGGCTGCTATCTTAAAATACTCGATTTCTCGAAAACTACACATAGTACCATTTTCAAATTTATACTGTAGAAAGGGGTTTAATAAAGCTAAAATTTAGCGTATCAAACATTTACTTGGAATGGGTCCTTCGATTTCTCTTCTCTGGCTGCTATCTTAAAATACTCGATTTCTCGAAAACTACACATAGTACCACTTTCAAATTTATACAGTAGAAAGGGGTTTAATAAAGCTAAAATTTATTGTATCAAACATTTACTTGGAATGGGTCCTTCGATTTCTCATTTCTGGCTGCTATCTTAAAATACTCGATTTCTCGAAAACTACACATTGTACCACTTTCAAATTTATACAGTAGAAAGGGGTTTAGTAAAGCTAAACTTTAGCGTATCAAACATTTACTTGGAATGGGTCCTTCGATTTCTCATTTCTGGCTGCTATCTTAAAATACTCGATTTCTCGAAAACTACACATAGTACCACTTTCAAATTTATACAGTAGAAAGGGGTTTAGTAAAGCTAAAATTTAGCGTATCAAACATTTACTTGGAATGGGTCCTTCGATTTCTCTTCTCTGGCTGCTATCTTAAAATACTCGATTTCTCGAAAACTACACATAGTACCACTTTCAAATTTATACAGTAGAAAGGGGTTTAGTAAAGCTAAAATTTAGCGTATCAAACATTTACTTGGAATGGGTCCTTCGATTTCTCATCTCTGGCTGCTATCTTAAAATACTCGATTTCTCGAAAACTACACATAGTGCCACTTTCAAATTTATACAGTAGAAAGGGGTTCAATAAAGCTAAAATTTAGCGTATCAAACATTTACTTGGAATGGGTCCTTCGATTTCTCTTCTCTGGCTGCTATCTTAAAATACTCGATTTCTCGAAAACTACACATAGTACCACTTTCAAATTTATACAGTAGAAAGGGGTTTAATAAGGCTAAAATTTAGCGTATCAAACATTTACTTGGAATGGGTCCTTCGACTTCTCTTCTCTGGCTGCTATCTTAAAATACTCGCTTTCTCGAAAACTACACATAGTACCACTTTCAAATTTATACAGTAGAAAGGGGTTTAATAAAGCTAAAATTTAGTGTATCAAACATTTACTTGGAATGGGTCCTTCGATTTCTCTTCTCTGGCTGCTATCTTAAAATACTCGATTTCTCGAAAACTACACATAGTAACACTTTCAAATTTGTAGAGTAGAAAGGGGTTTAATAAAGCTAAAATTTAGTGTATCAAACATTCACTTGGAATGGGTCCTTCGATTTCTCATTTCTGGCTGCTATCTTAAAATACTCGATTTCTCAAAAACTACACAAAGTACCACTTTCAAATTTGTAGAGTAGAAGGGGGTTTAATAGAGCTAAAATTTAGTGCATCAAACATTTACTTGGAATGGGTCCTTCGATTTCTCTTCTCTGGCTGCTATCTTAAAATACTGGATTTCTCGAAAACTACACATAGTAACACTTTCAAATTTGTAGAGTAGAAAGGGGTTTAATAGAGCTAAAATTTAGTGTATCAAACATTTACTTGGAATGGGTCCTTTGATTTCCCATTTCTAGGTGCTATTTTAAAATACTCGATTTCTTGAAAACTACACATAGTAACACTTTCAAATTTGTAAGGTAGAAAGGGGTTAAATAAAGCTAAAATTTAGTGTATCTATTTATTTAGTGTACTAGGTGTAGTTTTCGAGAAATCGAGTATTTTAAGACAACAGCTAGAAATAAGAAATCAAAAGACCCTATCCAAGTGCGTGTTTTGTACTCTAAAGTTCAGCTTTATTAGTCCTGTTTCTATCTTGCAAGTTCAAAAGTGTTGTTGTGTGTAGTGTTTAAGAAAAATTATACTTTAAAGGTCAGTAGATAAGCAGCAAAGACTGGAAAGCTAAAATCCGGGTGAATGTAATAATTTTATTCGATTATATTTGGTACCGCATTTCCATATCAATTTGTTTGTTTTTCATAAAAATAAAATATATTATTATTTATTATTAACTATTTCTAACTGATGTGCCCCGGAATATTTGAAATTCATCAAATTAAATTATCATCCGACGCCACTGGTCGTTCGGCAATCTTCGGGAAAATGGCCGCTAACTTTTGGCTGCTAACTACACATCAGTCTGTTTTTAGTGGTTTTTCTTGAATTTTCGTGTGGCGTACTTTTAAAACTGCTGGATTTTTGAAGTTAATTTCAGCAGTGTTTCGACCTCGTAGAAATTGTAAGTTCCTCCTGGCTATGACTATGGAGTCGGAAAGAGCGCGTCCCCTTTGTATGGTTTTTAGGTTTTATTTTGCCAAAATAAAGGTAAAATACCGGGAATTAGCTATTTCAAGTAAGTAAAACAACAAATATAAAACTTATAATTAAGCTTGTATCAACATTTTCAAACACTACTTGAAAATATTTAAATGCGGTCCTGTTTACTCAACCTTGATTTTGGAACGATTCCAAACAGTGAAATTGTAATGCGCACGTACAACGGCTACCCGGTTTGGCGCAGGTTTTTGGTCCTACAGTTTGCCATTTTTCGAATACGCTAATGCTTATCCATTTATAGAGGTCAGTGGGTAAAGTCGGTAAACAAAAATCGCTTTTATCGTTTTCGTACTCTATGCTGTGCCGGATTAGTGCAGATATCGATTTCTTTGTTTAATTCGCATTTATAGACAAGGAAAGAAAATTGTCGATACTTCAATTAATAGATGTCGTTCTCCTCAAGTTTCAAGGCGAAGGTAGAGCTGTATACCAAAGTCGATACGCAAAGCGATTTTGATAAATATATGCCTCCTTTTTTGTCCGATGTGTTCAAAAAGAAAAAAAAAATATTCGTTTGGAACATGGAAATTTGGCAAACCTTAGACAAACAGTGATTTTTGATTGGTGCAAAATTATACCGCAAAATTCAAAATAATCTGATTTTTTTTCTTTCAATTTTTGACTCCGATTTTTAAAAAAATTAACCAACCATACTTTTATGTAGTACATCAAATACACTTTCGTTACAGATAAATTATATACCTAATTTTAATTGAGTGCAAGAGTTCCGCGACAAATATTGGTTGCGTTTACGTTTTCGCAATGAGCTTTTAATACATTTACGTCATGTTTCAGAGAAAATAATTAGGTACTAAATTATTGTTAATTGCTATACATTATAAATTAATAAATAGTAATTCTTTTATCTCCCTAAACTTTTGAGTTTAGGGAAGCGGTGCTTCCCCCGCTTCCATGGACCGCACGCCCCTGATTATTATTATTATTATTATTATTATTATTATTATTATTATTATTATTATTATTATTATTATTATTATTATTATATCGCCAATGAAAATAGGATTCTAGATGATTGGTTGTAGGTAATTCATAAACGCGATAATAAAACAAAGAAAATTCAGTTACCTTTCTCCTAATCTTTTTCAGTAGTTCAGGAGCATCTCTTTTAAAATATGGGTGATGAAACTGTATAGTTTTACTATCTTCTTTTTCTGACAAACCTGCATTGTCCAAGCTCGAGACCTTGTGGAATCCATCTGGAAAAATACGAAGGTTATAGAAAATTATGCAATGGTGTCTGCAGGAATTTCGAGAGACCATAGAATCAATTTAATTTTCTGTATCCTGAATGCTTCCAAAAAAAGGATAAAACTCCGGACTATACATATTTTTAGGCAAGGTGTGTCTGTATCATTTGTTTTTGATCATGTCAACTGATGTCTGAGAAACCATCAACAGTTGGCGACGATGTGTGGAATAATGCGGACCATATGAAAATAAGAGTAGGACATTTATTATGTCACCAAAATTATTTACACTAACCCTGTATAGAGGATGTCTGAAAAGATACACCAGCAAAATAATGGGCTCAATATTGATGGAGTGAGGTAAATCACTCACGATTTTTGCAGACGACTTTGGGGTCATCAAAGAAGATATCTGAAATTGTAAAACCTATCTAAGGGACTTATATAATCTGGCGCACCACATGTATAGTAGTGTAATATGGGAGCTGTATAAGAAGCAAAAAATATATCCCCTATTAGTAGACTGAAAAAGCGGCAAAAATGTTCCAAAATTTTTTTCCAAGGTATAACTACATGAGACCTTCACAGATCGATAGAATAGGTCCATGACTACCTGAAATGGCTAATTACAACATTTTTTCGCAGGTCCAACAATTTTTATATCGAAAAATGTGATAAATTTGTCAAAATTCAGTTTTCATGCTTTTACACACATACCTCGCGATATCTCCGGAACTAATTGAGATAATTTCATCAATTTTTTTTTATTCTGGAAAGAATATGTTAGCGAAAATCACCAAGATAATTTTGTTTTTCTGAAAAACTCACTTTTCTCGTAAAACTGGGTAAAACTTCAACTTACACTTTTTATGCAGTACTTTTTTCAGTAAGCGAGAAACTTTTTTGTTTTAAGGATTTTTGCCATACTATCAGCGAATGAAACAAAGCTAATAGTCGGGTGGCTTAGTCTTAAAATTCATAAAAATATTTCACTTCTGGCGGAGAAAGTGCTCTTTTGCTCTTATTTACTAACATTTAGTTCACATTCTTTGATGGGATCAATCAATAATCCACTTTGGTAATATCACTTATATCACTTATGGCCATTTCCACCAGCTAGTTATTTTCGGGAAGCCTTAAACGATAAGTATTCCCTAGACTGACAGTTTTCCATGGAGAAATGTCGGTTTAGGAAATACTTATCGTAATAGGGACCGGTCACAAATTTAAATCCGCGACCCCTAGTGAGAGATGTCAAAAGTTTTTGTATTAATATTTTGTCAAATTTTCACTAGAATTTCGAAAAATAGAGCTCGAAATACATTTTGGTCTCCAAAATATAAAATTTATTCACCACGAAGCTGCATACAAAAAAGGTGTGGTTCTATAGTCGAGGCTCTAGTGAAAGCTGAACATGTATTGCAAGTAGTTGAACGAAAAGTTGGAGGGGACTTATCCATTTTGAAAGGGCATATTATGAGTCAAACCTCCATAAACAGCTCTCCTTATGTTGTTGAGCTACAGCTGGTAGGTATAACAATAAAATGGACGCTACAAATCCTCGACTGTCTTTCTGGCTCCCACATTTTACTACTTTATAAATTGAATCTTAAAACGATAAAGAGTAAAGTAACCAAATCAATATGAAAACTCAGTGTGTAGTTCCTATGAATAGGTGTGAAGGTTAATGTTGATAGAAGTAGTAACTTACATTTCTTCCGACAGCTTTAATCCATTTTTCACGTCTTTCCTGATCATGGGGCCGACTAGGAAAACTGTAGAAGTGAACATTTCCACTTAGTTAAGGAGACGACCGCATTTTTTCTACCCCGATCGAGTTATGTGTCGACACTATTATCAATATACAGGGTGATTCAAAAGTAAGCGGCATCCTTTCGGGGGCGTATTCCTTGCATAAAAACAAGACAAAAAGTTCCTATTAACATGGGTTCAGAAATGCTTCCTAAGGGAGCTACGCTTAGACCATATAGCACAGTGTGCTATATGGTCTAAGGAGCTACGCCCCTTCGTATAGGACACCTGAAACACGTGTTTTTCTGTATAACTTTGAAACCCTCACAAATGGATTTTGAAAATTGGTGTATTTTATAAACATTTGATGGCAATTAAGATACTAAATTGAAAATTCAAAAATCTTAATCAGTGTCACATACTGGGGAGGGTGAAAACATCCCTATTTTTTTTTACTCGTCAGGCTTTTGCGAAACATATACAAATCAAAAAATTTTCAAAGTCAATTTTCTCGTAAACGGTACGCTGTATCGAATTGAACCAAGAGTACCTTTTCTGTGTAAAAAACTCTAAACTTTCTGAATTTTCAATCAGAATCGCAAAAACCTGACGAGTAAAAAAAATAGGGATGTTTTAACCCTCACCCTCCCCAGTATGTGGCGCCACTGATTAAAATGTTTGAACTTTCAATTTAGTATCTTAATTGCCATCAAATATTATTTATAAAATGCACCAATTTTCAAAATCCATTTGTGAAGGGTTTCAAAGTTATAGAGAAAAATACGTCTTTCAGGTGTCCTATTCGAAGGGGCGTAACTCCGTTAGGAAGCATTTCCGGACCCATGTTAATAGGAACTTTTTGTCCTATTTATATGCAAGGAATACGCCCCCGAAAGGATGCCGCTTACTTTTGAATCACCCTGTATAGTAATATGTGCATCTATTAACCGGTATTCCTGCCTGAGAGCAAATGCTGCCAGAAATATCTTTTAACAAATTGAAAAAAACGTAACACTACCCTCATCGAGTTATGCCCTAAGTAGGGTATCAGATTAAAGGTCTCGATGTCCTCTATTTAAAAAGTCGATCCTGCCTCGTGAGAACTTGCTGGAAAAAGGTGGCAAGGCAGCTTATTGGGGCAAGGGCCGGCGGTCTCAGCTTTGACACCTATCAAGTTTTGCCTCACAGAATACATATCCTCACGGATAGAAGGCAAACTGCCTAATAAAATTTTGGGGAACAATGCGCCGTCACAGCGCGGTGGATGCGATCCGAACTATTTATAATAAAGGTTTCTGTAATCAAATCAGCTTTCAAAATAGTTCTTCCAATGTCAATATTTTCAATATTAGATTTGTTCGGACTTCAGTTCAGAATTGAACTACGCTTTCGCATTTCTTTATATAGGTTTGATATGACCAAATGCGCAAGCGCAGTCCAATTTAGAACTGATTTTGAAGTCCAAACAAACCTTTTTACTCATTATTGAATATTGACGGATTTTTCTTCCGAGTAAAGCAAAAACGGCCCAACTTCTTGTGTTTTGTGTAAAGTCTGATTTTGCTGATTTTTTTTTTAAATTTAGGAAACATTTATCTGGATTTAAAATGCACACCAACACCACAACATTCAGAACTATTTTGAAATATTTTTTTAAACGTAGGTAACAGGTAAACTGCTAAAGTAAACTGTGACATATTTTCTGGTGGCGTTCATGCTGCACCTGTAGTTGTGTTTCACTCCAGCGTCCCCAAGCGGATGCGATCCGAAGCTTTTTTTTTAGGCCCCGCCCTCCATTAAGCTTTTTTTTCTATCCGTGAGGATATGTGTTCTGTGTTTTGCCTTGAATGACGCGTCGAATTAAAGGTGTCGAAGTTGATTTAAGGTCTCTTCGCACAGAAATCCCAAACCAGAAGGAGTGAATTTCAATGGTTGAAACTAGTTTCCCGACTGTTTCCAACAAATAAAATTCGCTCTGACTGGTTTGTGATTTCTGTGCGAACAGACCTTAAATCAACTTATTGACAACTTTAATATGACACATCATTCAGTGCAAAACTGTGGTGCAAAACTTGATAGGTGTCAAAGCTGAGACCGCGGGCCTTTGTCCCAATAAGCTGCCCTGCCACCTTTTTCCGGCAAGTTCTCACGAGGCAGGATCGACTTTTTAGATAGAGGACATCGAGACCTTTAATCTGATACCCTACTTAGGGCATATAACTCGATGGGGGTAGTGTTACGTTTTTTTCAGTTTGTTAATAATTTGTTTAAAGATATTTCCGGCGCGGTCGTGTTCCAGACTAACTTGTGTTGGCATAATTATTGCCACAGTTAACAACACAACAATTTGTGAAACTGTTCCTGGCATGACAAGTAGTGGGTATGCACAATAGCCTGAATTAATGATAATAAAAAGTGTTTGGCAAATAAAAATTACAAGAAAAAAAGTGTAATAGACCTATCTCGCATGATTAGAAAAAGAGAGGTTAATTATAATAAATACAAGTTAGAAAGCAATAAAAAATGACATGCGCGTGCAACTCGTAGGCTGCAGTGTAGCCAGATTGAATTGTTGTAGAACAAATGTAGACAATACAAATCGAAAATTATAACATTAAAGAAGTGATATAGTGGCAAGTGTTTTACAACGCCTTAAATCAGACAAAAGAAGAGCTTTAAACTGGATGAACATCGTTTGCACTTTTATTTTGATAAATGTTTCATCCGGCAACATCATTCAATGAAATTGCAAAGGAATATGTCAAGTATAATCCAAAACCTTAAACGACACTGTGGTGAGTTCAAGTAATATGTAAAGTATTAGTTTGCTCTTTGTCGAATTACACGTTACAAAGAAGGAAGGAACGATTCATTCTGAAATGGCCCCTGAATAAGAATATGACGCAAGCCTGTCACAAGCTTGCTTCTCATTGGACGCTCACCTGCAGCCTACAAGCGACGCGCGCAGTCCAGGTAATAGGAGATCGATCTATTAAATATAATTGTTTCGTGTAAACAACCATACCTTTATAATGAAATATATTTCGCTTTGAAATCGTTTTTTATGAGAAAAATTACATTTGTGTAAGTGGAATCAAGCACTTGTCATAATACAAGAACTTACGTTGCTGTCGAAAGAGGGCGCTACTGTAGTTTATCGACGGACTCTTATGACAGTTCTTACGGTATAAGCGTTAGAGGAGCCCGCTATTTAACGGAACTTACCGGATGCCTTACCGTAACGCTATGCTCTGTCA